ACATCAGGCAGCTTTGGCAGACAGTGGTGCACAGTGTACACTGGTGCCATCAGGGTATAGGGGCACAGAACCCATCTGGATCTCAGGGGGATGTCAAGAACTGCCTGTATTGGAGGGGGACAAGTGGGAAAAGCACCACATTGTGACTGGCCCAGAGACCCCTTGTCTTCTTGGCATAGACTACCTCAGGAGAGGGTATTTCAAGGACCCAAAGGGATATCGATGGGCTTTTGGTGTAGCCACTGTGAATACCGAGAAGATCGAACAGCTATCTACCCTGCCTGGCCTCTCAGAGGATCCCTTCATTGTGGAATTGCGGCACGTTGAACAACAGCAGGTGCCAATTGCTACCAACAGCAATATTGCACCAATTGAGACTCCTTGGCTCCCATCCGTGAGTTGATTCATCAACTGGAGAGCCAAGGAGTCATCAGCAAGACTCACCTTTTAATAGTCCCGTATGGCCAGTGCAAAAATCTGATGGAGGGTGGAGGTTAACAGTAGACTATCGTGGCCTGAACAAAGTGACGCCACCATTGAGTGCTGCTGTACCAGATACGCCAGAGCTCCAATATGAACTAGAGTCGAAGGCAGCAAAGTGGTATGCTACGATTGACACTGCCAATGTGTTTTTCTCAATTCCTTTGGCAGCAGAGTGCAGGCCAGTTTGCTTTCACATGGAGGGATATCCAATATACCTGGAATCGACTGCCTCAGGGGTGGAAGCACAGCCCTATCATTTGTCATGGACTAATCCAAACTGCACTGGAAAAGGGTGATACGCCTGAACGTTTACAATACATTGATGACATCATCATGTGGTGTGATAAGGCAGAAGAAGTGTTTGAGAAGGGAAAAAAAAGTAACTCAAATTCTTCTGAAAGCTGGCTTTGCCATAAAGAAAAGCAAAGTCAAGGGACCTGCGGAGGAAATTCAGTTCTTGGGAATACAATGGCAGGATGGACGCCATCATGTGCCCATGGACGCGGTCAACAAGACAGCAACTATGTCTCCACCAGCCAACAAAAAGGAAACACAAGCTTTCCTAGGCCTTGTGGGGATCTGGAGAAAGCATACTCCTGGTCATAGTCAGCTTATGAGTCTTCTCTATCAAGTAACATGAAAGAAGAACTGGTTTGAGTGGGGCTTTGAGAAACAACAAGCCTTTGAGCACATCAAACAGGAAACAGCTCATGCGGTAGCTCTTGGGCCTGTCCAGACAGGACCAACTGTGCAAAATATACTCTACATTGCAGCTGGGGAGCATGGTCTTACCTGGAGCCTCTGGCAGAAAACACCAGGAGAAACCCGAAGTTGACCATTAGGGTTTTGGAGCTGAGGATACTGAGGATCGGAAGCCCACTACACCCCGACTGAAAAGGAGACACTAGCAGCATATGAGTGGGTTTGAGCTGCTTCAGTTGTTGCTGGTACAGAAGCATCTCTCCTCTTGGCACAACGACTGCCTTTGTTACACTGGCTGTTGAAAGGAGACATGCCTTCTACACATCATGCAACCAACGCCACATGGAGTAAGTGGGTAGCACTGATCACCCAATGAGCTCGACTGGGAAAACCGAACTGTCCAGGAATCCTGGAAGAAATCATGGACTGGCCAGAAGCCAGAGAATTTGGAGCATTGCCTGAGGAGATGGCTCATGCCCAAGAGGTAGCACCATATAATGTGATATCAGAAGATGAAAGGTGTTACACTTTGTTGACTGATCCTGTGGTGTGGTAGGAAACAGTCAGAAGTGGAAAGCTGCTGTGTGGAATCCCACATGACAAGTCATTGAGGCTGCTGAAGGAGAAGGTGAGTCAAATCAGTGTGCAGAAGTAAAAGCTATCCAACTGGCCCTGGAGATTGTAGAATGAGAAAAGCGTCCAGCACTCTATCTCTGTACTGATTCCTGGATGGTGGCTAATGCCCTGTGGGGTTGGCCTCAGCAGTGGAAGAAGACTAATTGGCAGCACAGGGGTAAACCCATCTGGGCTGCTGCACTATGGCAGGACATTGCTGCCTGGGTAGAAAATGTGACTCAAAAGCTACATCATGTGGATGCTCACATACCCAAAAGCCATGCCCCAGAAGAACATCGAAACAACGAAGAGGTAGACAAGGCTGCTAAAATTGAAGCAGCTCAGGTGGACCTGGACTGGGAGTCTAAGGGTGAGCTATTGGTACTCACTGGGCCCATGAAACATCCAGACATCTAAGAAGAAACACAACATACAGATGGGCTCGTGATCGAGGGGTGGACCTGACCACGTGCTGATAACACACCAGTGTTTTGGCTACTGCTGAGCAGGGCTCACACAGCATCAAGGCTGTCTCTGCAGCATTTCCCCACAGGCTGGGGGTGGGCAAAAAACTTGGGAGGTGACACAGCCAGGACAGCTGACCCAAACTGACCAAAGGGATATTCTGTACCATATGATGTCTGCTCAGCAACATAAGATAGGGAAAAAGAGGAAGAAGGCGGGGGCATTTGTTTTACATTTGTCATCTGGAGCAACCACTCCGCATACCAGAGCCCTACTTCCTGGGAAATAGCTGGACATTGCCTGCTGATGGGAAGTAGAGAATAAGATCTTTTGTTTTCCTTTGCTTCTGCACATGGCCTTTGCTTTTGCTTTATTAAACTGTTTTTATCTTGACCCATGTCCCCTGTCCAGCTGAGAGGGGGAAGAGTGACAGAGCAGTTTGGTGGGCACCTGGTATCCAGACGGGGTCAAACCACATCAGAACAATTCATATCCCTGAATCCCACCCTCACAGCAGTCATCCAACAGACCACTAAAGCTCCTGAAAGCTTGCAGCAGGTTGGTTCCTGAACCATACCAGCTCCTTATTTCAAGGTTTTATTTTCTCTTCCTTAACTCCCCTCTAGCTCTAGCTTGTGGCAAATCACAGCTCATGAAGCTGCATGCCAGGAGGCTCCAACTACTTGCCTGAAGAGGTGAAATAAACAGTGGGCATTTGCCAAAGTACTCCTAACATTTGGCGCAGTTCATTTTTCAGGACATGCAGTGCCAAACTGGCAGGCTGAACAGGAAAGAGAAGGAATAAGGAGAGTAAAACCTTTCCTCTAAGCGTTTCTGAAATGTTTATCACAGTAGCACTGAGACATTCATAGCCCTTTCATTTTTCTCTGAAAGGAAGTGCAGAAAGATGATGTCTTTCCATAAAACCCCAAATGAATCAAGTGGGAAGTTTGAACAAACTTGGAAAATAAAGAGCGAGCTGCTTCTTCAGCCACCACTGTTTTTAATTGAAGATGCTTAATGAAAACTGGGAAAAGCCTCTGACAACAAATGCTAGATGAAAAATTGCCAAAGTATTTAAAAAATCACACTGTCAATAAAAGTGAAAATTATCAGTGCAAAATCATGACTGTGAATACTGAGGGGCTGTAGGTGAAGTATAAATAACAGCATACTGCTGAATTCCGAACAGCCAAAACACAAGATAAATTCATATAAAGGACTCTTACAAAGCTTTATTAAGTAACAGATACAAATTGTTATTTTTTACATCCAAACTGTCAATTTTAAGTAAAACTAGCATGTAAGGCACAACTTCTCCAACAAGCTACCGAGACTCAACATAACAACATGTAACAATGTTCCTTTTCGCCATACTGCATGGAAGCAGAAGGGTATGCCAGGAACTGCCTCTGCATTCCATTCCTCTGGCTATCTGACCGCCTAGTTCTGCACGCAATGCATTTTTCATGAAATACTTTGTTCTTTGAAACAGAACAATTGCGATCACTTTCATTATGGTCCTTAGGAGCATTCAGACAGCCAGAGTATTATTCACCATTAAAACTGTGATACTTGTTATATGTAAAGAAAGCCCCTGTCTGATAGCTGCAAAATGCTGCTTATGGATTAACGGTTACTGTGATGATGACTATAATCCTCAAAATAAAGGATTCCAACTGAAATACTGTTTTTTCTGTTCTCAGGGAAGTATTTTAGGACTAAGAACTGGAACCAAGTTTTTCTTCTCATCTGTTTTAATCTGGAAAAAAGTTCATGTCAGCATCCCTCACTGACACCTTGTTTAAAAAGCAAAATACATCTGAGCACACAGTTACCAACTGCCTGGTTTAGCGGAGTACTTTCTCATGTACCCGGGATTGTGCATTCTCTACCTGTGTGTCTTAGTCAAGAGAAAGAACACAGTCAAGAAAAAACCCCACATCAATACTTGGGCTGTTAAATGCTACATTATTTTACAGACTTACAACTGAGCACTTACTAGCAGGATATTACAGTACAGATATTCCAAAGCCTCGCCATACCAGTAATATCTCACTATATAGTTTAAATAAAGGCTCTGGGTGTGGCTGCATCAGTTTGTACACAAATACACCAGAGACAAGCAGCCTGAACCAACTGAAAAGGTCACTCAGTGCAAAATAAGCCACTTTCCAGTGCACCAGCTGACTAGTGGTAATAAAAGGAGGCTCAGTTTCTATTGAGGTACTTCTGTGTGTGAAATGACCTATCTAAATGTATTTGTATCGGAACCCAGGTAAGATAATTGCCTTAAAATAAAAATATTTACTACCAGAAGAAAGGTTGTCTTAGAAGGCACGCGCTTTCACATTCCCAGTCCAAAAAAGTGCTTACAGTAACAAGCAAGGAATACTGCAGTTGTATCCAAAGGAAGCCACACTCGGATAGTTATGTTTTCCTTTGTTGTGGTTGTCATAAAAAACCTCCAAGTTATTCACAGTTCCAGCATTCCTAATGTTAAACCAGCAAATTACAGTGATGAATCACATTGTAAGGCTAAACGTAAGAACGCTTCTCAGTGCAGTACATTCCTGAGTCTTTGGAACTCAAAATAAAAAACTAGTTCTTTGAAATATACAATCCTCCATCTTTTTGGCTCATATTTGACCTGCTTTTCTATTGCCATTTTTTAAAAAATTCATTAGAAAGTAAGTTAATTTTTACAAAAAGTAAATTTTTTGAACCATAATGTATCTCTAATGTGAGCCATAACCGATGCTCCAGAGCCTTGGTGATGGGCTTGTGTTCCTGCTGGAGGACTGAGGACTGAAGGAAAGCGCAGGTGATACAGAGAAACCTAAAACATAGGGGAAAAGGAGAAAAAAAAAAAACAACAACCATACTCAGGAATGGTGGAAGAAACAAATAATTGCTGTTGATCATCTCCTGAAACATCAGGCAAGCAAGTCTAATGATTCATGCAAAGTGAAAGAACCCATTTAGCTTATTGCCTGTTTAAAAGACAGCTTAAAAGTATCAAAATTTCGTAGGTCTTCCTATTGAGGACTTTAATTAAAGAACTGATTAAGTCTTCAAGGGGGGCACAACACAGTTCACCTCAGCAAGTAACTTTCAGTTTGAAGTTGCCTTAATTTTATCTGAAGTATCAAGCATGTGTTTAACAAACAGGACTGCAGCTCACCATAACATGGACACATCTATAATAAGGTGATTTTTTTTTTAATAGCCATTGCCGATTAGAGACCTTCCAAGTGAATGGGTATTTTCTGCGTATTTCTGAGAGTTTGATTCTGCAACACTACAAACAGGTAAAATAGGGAATAAATATGATGTCAAAAAATAGATAAAGCATGACTGCAAGATCAAAAGCAGTGGAGGAACAAACTATTCCCTGAGCAACACAACTGTCTTCTACAGACACGTGTCCTTTGTTCCCTAACATTTACCCTTCCCTGTCTCTTACAACAACCCCAGCTCCCAGCTCTGCGGAGCATGCGGGCAGCACCAGAGATGCAGCACGTGCTGCAGCTTATCTGACGTCACATGAACTGACTGACCAGCCAGCTGCTGCCAAGCACGGTACCAGCAGCTGAGCCCCACTTTACTTCCCCTCAGCCACAGCAAAATTGTGGCTCTCTCTCCTCTACCCATCTGGTGATTTGTATGAATTCCTACACTTTTAACCTGCTCCCTATTTCCAAGGCGGCTGAAGGTGGCCAAGAGTTTCAAAAGAACTAGCAATGGGTAAAGGGGAGGTGGGACAGGAGGGTGGGCAACAGATTCCCTAGGGACTTGGCACAGTGCTTGTTGTAATACCAGTCAGTATACAGGCTCTCTCATCATCATACCTTCCCACATTCCATTCAAACGCAATAGCTGGGCTTATCAATCAATTCCTTTATAACTGGGTAACAGCTGCTTACTGTTATGGCTGTGTTGAGGAGTCATCCTTGGGGTAAATGCTGGATGAGTGTGCTGTTCTTTTGGTGAGAAAACGGCATGATAGGCTGCAAGGCATTTTAAACAAAACAAACAACAACAAAAAAAAAACAAAATCATTTCACATGGAAATTATTCCTCTGTATCTTGCAGCTAATGCACTGTAAGATGTCATGAAAAAACACTCTTCTGTAATCTTTCATTCTCTTACCTATGATCATAACAGCTGTCCCTGCTAACAGTGCAAAAACCGTGAAGAACATCACTTGATAAGAATCAAGAAAGTGCTGGAATACACTGGCTCCATCTGTAAAACCGATTAAGAGGAGACAATATTGAGTTAAAAGAGCATCTTCTCCAATCTGCTTTAAGAGTTACCAGTTCTTAATTTAAACTGAAATAGCCAAAAGAAGGTTTTTATTTATAGCAAATAAGTATAATCAACTTAGATAATACCACTTCAATTCAAGTAACTATTTCCAACAGTCTTCAAAATTTGCCAATAACAGCCTGAGACATTGATATACAATGTCTTAAGTGTGTTCTTTACTTTCTCAGCCCCAAAATGCTGATCTGTTTTCAAAATAACAAGGCACACTTGAGAGTAAATAAAAGCAGAGCAAAGAAAAATTACCTTCAGACAATTTAGCACTCGGATTCATGCCAACTTCAACAGAGTATTTTGGGCTGACCCAAAAGGAAAATATGTTCAGCGTCAGTCATAATGAGCAATTGTATTCAAGTCTTCTGGCCCCAGTGAGCAGCTTACATGACAATGATAGCATTAGCTGCCAGCTCAGATTTTAACACACCCAATTTTGTAACCTCATGAACATCAATAGAAATTAAAGAGGTTTATTCTGGCATATGAAGTCTGGGGACAAACTTACGTCTCACTAGTGCGCTGGTTCTGTCAGTCAGGTAAATCACTGTCACTGGGATAGTGATAGACTGGTCAGTCATAGGACTAGAGACAGTTAGAGTGGTTGATATGGATCCCTGGCTTGGAACTCTTGGATCAGACAGACTAACAGTGTAGACTACATAACTAGGCAGGCTGTAGGATTTCTCCTTCTCAAACGCCTTCACTGTTGGTGACCCACATTTCACCTGTCAAGGAAAAAAAACAACCTGAAACGGACTGCTTGAGAAAGCAGAGCACATATCTATCTTCCAGGCCACGTGTCAGAAATATGTTATTCCACAGAACCAGAGCAGCTCACCCCTCAGCAGCAGTCAGACTTGGTTGTGAATTTGCAGCAACATTTGCAGCACTTCACCCCTGCTTATTGTTAAGGTTCCCCTATTAACTGCCATTTCTGCAGGTCTGGGCTAACTCCATAGAGGCAAAAGTCGAAGCATCCCTCGCTGGGCTACATGAGCCATGGGCAGTCAAACAGGTACATGGGCCACTTGGAGCAGGCAGATTTCCTGCTTCCCCACCTGTGAAGCTGGTTAACACATCCCAGCCAGTGTACAGGTGAGCCTGCCACATTTCTACTACCCCAAAAACAAAAGTGAAAACTGAGGAGGAATCCATACCAAGATAAGTATTTCCAAATAATCTCAGGAACAATCTTTACACAGTAAAGGCAGCACAGAGCCCCACTGGTTAGAAAGTTGGTGTAACAGTTCAAAACGCTTTCAACCGGGCTGTGATACTTTCCAGGAAAACACTCACCTCCAGGGCATCAAGAATTTCAGTGGCACCAAATATTTTCACATCAGAGCTTGTGTAATGGTTACTTAAAAGCATTTCTGTCTGGTCAGCATAAAACCCAGGATTGAATGGCACCTCAGCGCTGATCTGCTCCCCAGAGAAGTGGCTGCATTGGATTGAAGCTGTAACTCTGAGCGCAGTTTTACCCACGCTGAGATGCTTCAGCTGCTTGTCAGTAAGCCTCTGCATTGTGATGGAACAGGTGTAATGTCCTGTATAAACAAAAGCAGTTGGACTGTTAATTGCTCATCTTTATGGCTTTTTCTCCATGCAGAGTGACATTTCTGTGACATCCTTAGAGAACAGCTAGAAAAGGTGGTAAAACTGAACAAAAGCAAGATCAGGAGTGTGTAGGTGAATGGGACAGTGTGTGTGCTGGTCCAACAAGCACAATCCCAGTATGAAAACAGCACAAGATATTTTCTTGTCCCAAACTAAACATCGTTACAAAAACCATTAAAATGGCAGTTTCCAGTCACATTTTATTTCAGTATGCCAGTGAGACTCAATTCCACTTTGAATATAACATTTATGCTAATATTGACAGAAAGGCTTTACTGAAAACAAAATTTAACACCCTATCTCATATTCTCTTCACCCCAAGTTAAAATTTTAGCCAGTCACCGTGACCCATCATCAATTCTGTGGAGAAACGGTGTATTGTTTATAAAATAACAACCTTCAAGCTTCTTTAAAGGTTAGATATTCACCACATTTCTAATCTCTTACGGGACCTATTAGTCTATTATTAGAGATGAAGATAGTAAAAAATTCCCCCAGTATGGAAGATACAAAGTGTGGGAGCGTAGCTCGCTGAAAACAGGCATGGAATGCTAGAGGGCCTGCACAAGGAAAACTCTGTTGAACAGTTTGTCTAAACTAACATAGTAGGCCTCAAGGACGCTTCGACCTTGAGGGTCAGAATAGAAGAATTAGAAGCTAACATCCGTATAAGGTGGAACGTGTTAGTATTAATAGTAAAGTGATAGGTAGAAGCAGATGACTGATGTATGTATAGCACAATTGGAGTTTATGAAAAACTGCAAGTCATGATGACTTTGGAAAATTATGCTATATAAGAAAGTGCATCTGTACAATAAAATGAGTTTCCTGATATAACTCATATTGAGTCTTTTGTGGATTCTCCAAACTCCCGTCTCCGCAACAAAGCATAAGTAACAAACAGAACTTGCTAGGTAGGTATTTTCCCCTTATTTTCTCTCCCTAACAAAGCGGCATGGGCAGCCACTATTATACAAGGCATAATAGTGTTTTACACAATGGGTACAGGGACTAATCTAACAGATAATTAATGTTATTTCCATGCAGCCCACAGTGTTTTGGTTCTTTTAAAAACTCTGTTATAGGTATGAAACACTAACACATGTGATAGACTTTCACGATTTTATTTCTGTTTGCACAGTATCTGGTAATTTCCCCTCCTTTTCAGTCCCAGTTCATGTTGTTTTGGGGATACGTAAGAATTCTACCTTTCCTAAGAAATTACAGCACTGAGGTTGTGCAGGAAAGTTTACAGCATGATAATTTCCAGAACTGTTTAAATTGCAGAACACAAAGAATTCAAAATTTATTACTTTCACCAAATTTTCTCATTTACACCATTTCCCTCATTTTAATCACTGAGGTTAGTTATACTGCGATAACTACAGTGGCAGAGCTTTTAAAAGGCCAGCATCGAACACAAAGAATATTTGGCTGTAGAGGAGAATTTGGTGAAATCTAAAGATCCTAGTACACAGACATTAAAGCTCATGATTGGTCCTCTTATGCCTAGCCTTAACTTCCACTGTGTGTAAGCAGACGGTAAAGCCATTGATGTACGGCCAGAAAACACCTAAAAGAGCCACTAGATGTATAGACCTGCAGAGACACCCAGTTTTGGAGTATTTGTCACCTGAGTGCTTATCTGAACCAGCTGAAGGAGTGTTTTCCTTCCATAGTATAACAAATACAGGGCCTAATATTCTTTTCTAAATTGTTATACACGGGGCAACCAATTCCTGTACAGCTCAGCTGCAGTGTAAGATGGCAGCTGCTACAACTCTGAAAGACATATGAAACCGGCTGCCACTGATTTCTGGCTTTCTCTGAAGACAACTAAATGTTTTCATTACACGCAGAAATCCCTAGAGTTAAACAAGGAGAGTTCACGTTAACAGCTTACTGAAGCCTGAGACCCTACAGAGCAAAGCTCAGAGGCTTCAGAAGGAAATATGCCAAGTCAAAAGGCATTTGGACTAAACCACAGCAGAATTCAAAGTGTCTGCCTGGTGTGTGGCATCTTGTCTCATCTTACCTGAAACTGCATCAAATCCAGGTTCTGCTATAAAAATGTCATGTGCTGGGAAGTTAAATGCATCACTGTTAAAATCTAGATGGCAATTGATAATGGACTGTGGCTGTAATTCAGCAATGGCTTCAATTTGAGCAGGCAAGCACTCGCCTAAGGGAAAGAAAAAATAGATAAATCTCTAATTAATTAATTAGAAAAGAAAATTATAACTAATTAATTTCTAATTAGTTACAAGCAAAACCATGGCTTGAAAGAACAGGTACCAGTGCTACCTTCTAAAATATTTTTTACAAGGTTATGATGATCTTAAAATAGCTGGAAATCATAGAGAGCTGTCCTATCTCAGGACTAATCCCAAAGAGACAGTAAACGAAAATTGTATGTGTTGTGGGTTGGGTTTTTTCCCACAGGAATAACTTATTTACAGGAAAGAACAATCTAGAGAGAATTTTCAGCTCAGATGTGTCTGTTCAGTAACTTATATGATCCTGGGAGTCTTGACTTACATCTTAGTATCTGGGAAGATGTTTTTTTGGTAGGCTAGTAATTTACGTAAGGCATAATAAAATAATATTTGAACAAGTGTTACGTGTTAAGCTAAAAACTAAAAGGAACCATAATCAAACAAAATACAGCTTATGAAATAGAGGACATAATACAATGCTTAATCTTTGTACTGATTCTAATTGCTGATAATTTCTGGAAAAGATTTAAGGATGGTAAACACACTCAGTAAGAAAAAACAGTAACTTCAAGAAGGCAATAGGAATTAAACATAAAAGAAAACAATCAGCTGATTGCTTATTAACTGGTTTTTGATATGATCAAAAATGACATTTCTATTTATCTACTGATTTTATTAGTTGTGAAATCTTTGTAGTGCCCCAGAACACCCTGCAAATTCAGTAACATGGCCCTAAGATTCTTCTAGAGCTCCTGGGATTCCAGAAAGGCACTAGAGGTTCAGAGATGTTGCTACACCAGCTTCATAGACCCTTAAAAACAAACAAAAAACCCAAACTAAAACACAAAGCAAAACCATCTACCATGAATATACAAACACACAATAAACAATTAGTATAAATCTTTTTTTTATCATACCTTTCAAATTTTTATTTCTTTCCCCAACTGAAACAATCACTTTTGAGTTTGCAACTCCTTGTAAGCTTGTTATCACTCCACTTACATGTGTTGCTGTAGTCCTCTGGGGTGTATTAATCAGTATCTGAGAAAAGGATGAAGTACCTTGTTACCAAAAACCGTTTTAACAAATAAAAATTAAGGCAAATCCACACACATGCTTGTAACAGAAGAGAAGACTCCAAGAGGTTGTGCCTCTCTTTATGAAGAAAACATGCATTTCTCTAATTTTAGAAACAGCCTTTAGAGGCAATTCAAGCTAGGAAAACCTTTTTTTTTTTCTTTCTACCCAACCCCTGCAAGTTAACAGGTGTAATGCTCTATGTCTAAATTGACTTTTAAGAGAATGTCTGGTGCTTACGTTAGCTGATATAGTGAATTGTGTCAACAGTGCGAGTGCACTGTGAACAAACAAAATAATTTGAGTAGTTCTGATCAGCAATGCATATGGTACAACACTTTAGAAAGTTCTTGTTGGCATCTCATCCCGCAGCGAAACTTCACTCGTAACAGCAGCCATATTCAAAAATTGTTTAGCATCTGGACACAACTTAGCCAAGCAAAGGAATCAAAATGCACAACATAAGAACAGTATAGGCTAAAAATAGAAACTATTATGCCAAATTTTCCTCCTTAACATAGATGATTAAAAAAACCCCATGACGTGTTTGGACACAAACCAAATACTTTTCAACCATTTCCATTTCTAATACATTTTCCTTTAAAAAGAATGTTTCTAAATATTTATAACAAAACCAGATTTTTGGTGAGGGTCCATCCAAAGCACACCAACTTCGGCAGTTCTGGAAGGATTTAACAGTGCCTCACCTCTCTGTATGTTTTAAGTAATCCAGGGATCTCATAATAGACAGTGACCACACCAGAATCCCTTGCCACTGCTACGCCCGTCTTGGAGTCGACCTGAAGGACACTACTCAATGAGGAGCTCCACACACCCGGCAGGCCTGAGAAGACACACCATTTGGACATGGTTCAACAAATGTATGTTAACTGAAGCATTTCTTTATCGCGTCAGTGTCTGTGTGTGCATACCCCCTGCACGGGGGCTGCACGGGCACACGCACTTCACAGAAACAACATTCTAGTGTCTCATGTGATGGAAGGCTGGCAGCCCAACACCTAACTGACTTGCAGCTACTTTGACAAAAGCCCATTAATCCTAAGAATCAAATACAATACAGTGAGCCAAGTTAGATAGTCCTGACTCTGCATGATTCCCATAAAAAACAAGCCTTTCAAGCTAACAGAAAGGAGATGTCTGAAGTCTAATACTCAAGAATTCAATACAAGCAACATATTGCATGGTACAATTAAAATTAGAGGAGGTGATCAAACCTATTTTTATCATTAACAAGAACAGTGACACTCGATTCTGAACACACACCATAACTTATGCATTTAATTTTCCTGAGAATGAGAAAGAGTCACACTGATGTAAAATCATACAGCTGCAAAAACACAGCAACTGAAGTGCCGCCTACCTTCTTGGTTTATCAGTGCAGTGCTCAGGCAGAGGATATCACCCACCACCACATCTACGAGTTCAGGAAAAATGGCATGTTGCACAGGAAGTGGGATGTAGTCTGCAATTCCACTCTGTTCTGCATCCCAGACTTTAAGCAAGGTGAAACCTACATTTACAGTCCGGATTACAAATGTGTTGTTTGTGGCTCCTTTCCCAATCTGTACAAAGTCATCTCTATGGATAAAAAGAAATGCTTTTACATTAAGGCAAGTTTGCTAATGTCATTATCTCTAAAATAAATGTAGGTATTGAACTCTTTTTAGATGGTTGACTTCTTGTTTTCAACGATGGTTATCTTGTAATGAAGACTGACAAAATAAGGAAAATATAAAAATGATTCAGGTGCTACTGAGGCAAATTTCAGTTCTCACATCATTATGCTGAGAAAATACTGAGGTCATAATTATGTATGAGAACTACTTCCTAATTTTAAGAATTGTAGAACTTTAGAATGAGGTAATTTGTCTCTTTTCCCTTTTCTCAGGGAGTTAAGAAGCAAAGAAATTTAAACATCAATATGCAGCTTTCCAGCCATAACTTCCAAAGCTAAATGACACTCGACTCCGAATGGTGAATTTCAGTAAATATCCGAATTTCAGATATTTAACAAAATTCACCATTTCCAAACCCACTGTCACATGGAGCATTTGTAAGTGCGCCCAACACAGAGACTGCCACCTGGGCAGCACCACACAGTCAGGCAAGGTCTTGACAGCAGTAGGGCTGGGTCACCACAGTGCTGCACCTGAGGTTAATGAGCAGTGCTTCTCTCTATAGGACTAATAATTAGCCCTGTGCTGAAGCAGTTCGGCCATGTCTATCTTGGAAGCTAGGGCAGTGTTATCTCAGGGACCTCTTTATGCTGCAGAAATTTCTGCAGATCATTTAGGTAGGAGAATGAGAAA